TTCTATTTCTTGTTTTACTCAAATAACATCCGTGAAAAAAGGTCGTCCAAAGAACAAATAATGGCCTCAGACCTTTGCAGAGTACAATGAAGGATTTTTTAAAAAAGACCAAGAATGACTTTCTGTGCCACAAAGTCACATATGCTGGAACCGAGACGTTATCTGGTCAGCTCAGAGGTCAGGGCGCCACCTCCATTTAAAAGAAAACTTGTTCAATAGAGCGCCAGTGGCCAAATTTCTAACCATCCAATCATACGCTGACAGTCAAAAAATAAAAAGGGGGAAGGAGGTGCCTGGGCGGGGAAGATAAGAGCGAGCGTGTGAGTCAAAGTATTAGAGAGAGAGTGGAAAGAGACGGGGTGTCCGGATGCTATCTGGCGAGCACATTGTGCTGTTACGTTCATCAAAACGATCTGGTGCCCCCATCTGACACACAACATTGCAGATAAAAAGAAATTCTGGGGGGACTGTATCACTGCATCAGTGTGGTCTGGAGATGTCATTTTACCTCACATGCGTCGGATCAATGGCAACTTGTAGCAAATTGTCTTCCGCAATCAAACTATGTGTGAGGCTTTGAAAGCAAAATGTCCCAAAAAGTAGAAAACTTAAATCTGATGTCGTTCAGCCCATCACACATATGAAAGAAGTGAATATTAGTGTTCGTTAATACACGACAAGCTATTATTGCAGTACCCACATATTGTACATTGGAATGTCAAAGGTCAAACACAGACTATTCCCTGACTCCCTCTGTGTGTGTGTGTGTGTGTGTGTGTGTGTGTGTGTGTGTGTGTGTGTGTGTGTGTGTTGTGTCCCAAGCGACGCGTTCTTGTATCTCCGGCCTTGAATGGCCGTCGAGCTCAAAGAGATTAGAATCTGATAAGAAGCATGAAATGTCAGTGAGACACTCCCATTGGATTCCACACAATGCGAACGCGCATGCCAAAGGAGAGTGTGAATCCGATAAGCCCGATGACCCTTTAAGGGGAGGGGAAAAGGGTCCATATTGATATCATGTGACAGCATAAATAGAGCTACGGTGGCAGCATAGTCTGTATGTTAAGTTCCTGCAATATTTGGTCCCAGAACTATTGCAACTGTGAAAATTTGTGAAATTAAACCCTTGTGCCTACACCTTTTTTTGGGGGGGGGTGGGGGGGGTGGACACTTCTAAGCAATAAATTGTAAAAAATATATGTATATGTATAAAATCAAAATGAGTCATATTTCTTACTGGAATGCCAACATTTTCATGTATGTAAAATGGACCTAGTGTAGTGTCTTGCGGAACACCAGTTTCCGACTGTAGCGGGAGAACATTTTACTAAGAAGGCCCTACATACTAGTCAAGAGTGACGGTGATCTTCGAACTCATCATTTTTGTGGTAAAGAGAGTCTAATAAGTACAAATGTGACCTTTTCACGAGAACTGAATCAAAAGAGTACCGAGCATAGAATAAACACATGCTGCAGCCTGCAGGGTATAACTCTACCCCTTGAACAAACTAATTGACTCGACACTATTTCCTAGGAGAAAACTAGTTTTGGAATGAGTACAACTTGGAAGTCAACCAGTGCCCTTGGAGTTGAAAATAAATGACAAAGAATAGAAGGCAGCAAAAAGTCACATTCGGCAACATGGGCCATATCACAGCACTACGGGTCCAAGGCGACATGGCTTCATTTTGAACAGGCTGGTGACCTTCAAGCCTCGCCATGTGCCGAACGGCCTCGGCTAAAACGCCTCGCGCACAGCGGAACAATCAAGGCCTAAAAGATACATCAGAGCCATTTCGGTTGTTTGTGTTGCCGCCTGCGTGTGAAGCCGCGTGGCGATAAATAGGCAATGTCCCGAAAACAACCAAGCCGGGCTGGCACGGCTCAAGGTGACCGTCTGCTCGGGCCTTCGATGGCTGCGGCCGAAGCGTCACGTCGCCCTTGGCAACCGCATGGCACGGTGGCCGCGTGCCAATAGGGCGGGCGGGCTGTGTCGGTTCCATCAGCAATCAGAGGCTTAAGAATTTGGCGGAGGAAGCTTTCCTTCTAGGCTTCATTTTCGTCTTGCTGTTATATTGTAACTCTGCCCGGAAAAGGTTTTCATTGTTGTGTTTGTTAGCAGGATTATGCAAAAAGTACGACTTCATAAAACCTTACGGCGGGTGGGCATGAACAAAGACAGAAGTGTAGCTGTGCATCCGGGTGAATTATTTCTTTTGTAAACCTATTATCAGGCAAGAAAATTAATTGCGGGTTATAAAATGGGTCATGCATGCTTCTGCGTGAGCCACTTGAAACACTGCTGATGAATTCTATCAACCACTCATCAAAGAACAAATTAATAATGGAGAATCCCATTGACATGCTAGCGGCCAATTAACGGCGGGGGACATCCTGAACCTGTTGCCAGCCAATTGCAGGATGAATTTTATCACTAGAGCTAAATTGCAAGTTTCTTCTTCTACTCTTCTGCCCTTTAAGAAAAGAGGTAACAGAGTATGTATTTGAATGAGTGCTTTACGAAGAGTTAACAAAGATTTTTGGGGGGCCGCATTTCAAAATTAGCATAATTTGGCCTTGGCGGCGTTCTCCTCAGAACCTTGCAGAGGTACTATGCTGTCATTTTTCTTGAAATATCTTGCAGATGTGCTCATACCCTTGCCCTTCTCTCCTCCTCCTCCTCCTCAGCCTTTCTGCCAGCACAGCAAGCAGCTCTCAACACTGCAGAATCGACTCAAACGCAGTCAATCTGCTTTGCGCAACAAGCCGCCACAGCCTGAATAGACGGCGAGACGTCCTTTACGAACGACTAAATTGGACTGCGGTAAACTTTATCAGCCTGACGGGCAGGCAGGCAGACGTCGCTTAGAGCTAGCGGTGGAAATTGAACGCCTCCGCCACCCACCGGGGACAGAAAACGGAGGAGAAATTGAAAAGAGGAGAGACGTTTTTTTTTTTTCCTCCCCTGAACAAAAGACACAAAACCGGGCACATTCCTCAGCATATGGAGGAGTTCAGGCTGGGAGGTGTTCAAAGTGGCCTCGCCGTTCTCTGCCATATGGTGTCACTAATTGCTGTGTTTCAGTGCAGAGAGGTACAGCAAAAGAGAGAAAGAAAGCTTCGTGTGTGTGTGTGTGTGTGTGTGTGTTGGTCTCTCCCAAAAATGGGACACAAGTTGGGATTGTTTTCATGTCGCATAGCATGACTGTTGAACGCTTCCAAAATGGACCCCCCCCCCGAGGGGAGTATATGGCTTATTTCATGCTATCTGCTCCTGATATCTGGAACGCTGGCATGATAGAACAACTCCTCCGAAAGTTTGCGCAGTTTTAAAAGTGTGTTGGATGACATAGAGGAACTCTCAGGTGAGAGGGCGTTTGATGCGAAAGGAAGACGTAAATAAAACGTGACCTCATTCAAGAATGAAGAAACCCCGAACAAAGGCGACGCCGACTCTACTTAACGGAGTGGAACGAGCATGCAGACGCCAAATAGTGACGCGAATGATGTTTATCGTCCCACACACCTGCTAGGAACTGTTACACGCCTGCATCTTTGATTTTAGATGACACATCTCGATTGATGACCGAGTCATCGCAGGTTTCAGATCTGCTGCGCTACCTCAAAAGATTTTTTTTTTGGTATTACATGCGGTTGGCATCAGGCAGAAAGCTTACATCTCCAAAACCATCACTGCTCAAGAAAAGGAAAAAAAAAAGAAGAAAAAAAAAAAAAGCATATTTTTTGAACCATTAACATTAGGGCTCGATTGACGTGAATTTCTTTCGGGTGATGCCGATTCCAATATTTGGCGCCATCAAATTCCGATAACTCGTACTTGTGCCCTCGTGAAAATCGTAACACAAAAGAAACGGCAGTCATCGCATCACGGGAAAAATGACAAGACTGTAATTAAAAAGCCATAAGGCTCCTCATGTGTGCCCGAGCTAATAGAGTAATTATGTCAGACATTTTGGTGAACAAGCCACACTTACGCTGCTGAATTATTGACAATGCATATTATTTACTGCCCTTGAAGACTCTAAACGACGCTCCCGTGTCGATGAAGACTGTACTGTAAAACAGGCTGGGAACGGTTGACAAATTAGGGCGCATTTTTGGCGAAGGGAGGAGGTGCCGTTACACATGTCCACATCAATAATGCAACAGTTTCGCACCACCACTGTGCCGGGGCTGCGCGTGAGCCCCTTTCATTTGCACTTAGCGTCTTAATCAAAGTATCTCACTTGTCTTTGAACAGCACGGGAAGCGGAAAGCCTCTGAAATTTGAGGAAATCAATACGGGGAGGTGCAAAGTGTGCACAGTACAGTAGCTGGCAATGGCGGTCTTATCATTATTTTTTTTTCTCGTTATTTTAGGTAAATTACTCCACTTTAAATTTTACCTGCTACAGCCAAACAATAAATAAAGAAAAAATAAAAATAAATAAAATTAAGTAGCACCGACCAATAGAAATGACATTTTTATTGTCTAATGATTGTTTTTTTTTAAACGTAGAAAAAGAAGCAGTCGCAAAGCATTCCGATATAATTAAGTTATTTCATCTTAGTTGTAGTTCTCCTATTGGATGGCGATGTGCATTTAAGGTTGCATCCGATTGGTCAAAGTCTAATGAACCCCGGTGGTCAAGCTTCTGCAGGATCATACTCCATTTCTAATTCCCCAGCAGCCCCCTTTTCTTTTTAATCAGTGTTGACGAAGCTAAGAGTCAATGAAAGTTGACCTTCCGCTGCAGAGTAAAGATAGCAACTCCATCGCGTACCTGAATTCCACCTCAAAATACTCAGTCCTTGAATACTTTGTGCCGAAAATAAAACTCGCAATTGTCATGAGCAAAAGCAACATACCGTTGCAAAACAAGATGAATTTCCAGTCAGCATTTTTGCCTTTTTGCTGTGTCATGCCAATGGAGCAGGTCACCTCCAAACGTGCCGCGAGTGGAGAGACGGCGCGCTGTGAGTAAGCAATTAATACCTACCTTGCAGTCTCTGCATCACATTGGCAATGTCACGAGGAGAGTCTCTGGAGTGGTGCGGCGCAGCCATGCCGCTTGTCCTGCAGGTACCCGGCGTCGTCTCTCAGCTCGACATTGGCGCCCTAACCCACATGCAGAAATGTTTTTGAGTTTCGCGTCAGGTTGTTGTTTCTCCTCAGTTCATCCCTGTTGCAGAAACTCAGGCTCGGAGGGGCTCCTCCTCCTCCTCCTGCTGCTGCTGCTGATGCTGCTGCTGCTGATGATGATGATGACGTAAGCACAGCACTTGTGTGTGCAGGCAGGAACGCTTCCTGGTTGGCATGAGCTGCCATCTGCTGTCCAACCGAAGAGGGCGTTACTTGTAGCGCCATGAGGACCAATCGGAGGCCAGGTAGCTTCGGCTGCTGTTGGTTCCCACTTTCCACTGTAAGAAATTTATTAAATTTTCTTTATGAGTGTATAACGGGGGCACTCTTTCAAATGGAAATCAAAACGTATAATATTTGACAATTAAAAAGTACGAGAAAATAGATTTTCCTTGTAATAAGTAAAACTGCATGTCCGGGTGTATTCGTGAATCAAATGATGACAAATGACATTCTATTGTTTGGTTGTCATTCTTGATGTATTTGGCTCGAGGGTGCGTACCTCTGCAGTCGGGTCTTGGAGTCGTTCATTCCTATGCAGACCGGCTCAGGGTGACCTCGAGCGTTTGAGAGCCCCTCAGGAGCGAGCAGATGCAGCCGAGCAGAAAGGAGTTGCCACTGCAGCAGAGGTCAAATCAAACAAGGAGTCAACGCAAGGAGTTTTCCTTCTGAGGGCACCCCTATCAACCAAGCTTCTGTTTGCTTATCGAATAAACGCTTATGCAGGGCTAAAAGCGAAACGGCCGCTGTGTTAATCCCCACTCCTGTGTGCTCAGCAATTTGCCGAAGCTCATTAGAAAGTTGTGTGATGAAATTGACTCGATGCCAAAGAGACAGATGTTGCCCTCAAACCGTATCGGAACTAAATACTAATGGACTGTATTCGGCGTACCTAATTTTGTGGTACGTGAGTATATTTTTAACATGGTTGGATGACTGCTGAGAATTTTGACGACGACTACTATTACTACTACTACGACTACTATCGTTTTGTGGAATTCATATTTTCCTGTGGCACTCTGCTGCCCCTCACGGGTCACTCTTGGTACTACAGATGGCGGAAACGTTCGTTTTGTGCTGACTTGTTCATAACACAATAAAATCTGGAGGTAAAACAATGCTCGTGGTTTTTGTTTTTTACAAATTGTCTACATTTTAAATAATTTTTAAAGATTACAAATACATAAAAAGAGGTATGCATCCCGCTGAAGGCCTACGTCCATGTGGTATAAAAACAAACGTAAAGATTTCTGAACATCCAAGATATCGTTTGAAAAACACATGCCAGAATTAACTAAAGGCTACTTTCTATCTGCAGTCCCTGGCATGTCAGAAGTGAACGCTCTGCTTCTTTTCCCACTGAAATTGAAGCACTAAAGCTGTTGATCGTGGACTATTACTCCACCTACTGGAGGGAAACAGAAACATTGACTTTTCTTCTTAAAAAAAGGGGGTCGGGGGCTGGTGCAGTTGACAAAATTGTCAGCGTGCCCAAAACAGAGTACACAAGTGAAAAGGAATATAAATAAACAAATAAATCAGCCCTCTGTGGCTCCATCTTGTATCTCTCATTTGATTTGCATGAAACCACAACGCTTGAGGAAAACCAACCAATCAAACAAAACAAGTGTCATGTCAATCATTCACGGTCTCACCATTTTGATTCATTTAATTTTGCCAGGGAGTATTGCAAACTCCCGCTTTATGTTTCTGTTTAAGCATCCATTTGAGAAGGTATTATATAAAGAAAAACTGTGCCCCTCTACAGACTACGAACAATGCATTGGTTTAAGTGACTATTTGGATGTTTTTTTTTTTTTTTTTTTTTTTTTTAACACGAACAGAAGTATTTTTTCTGGCCATTTCACTACCATGATGTCAGTATCCGTAAATGTTTCCGACTTTTTTTTTTTGTTTTTGTTAATGAAACTGGTCTGGAGTGTTGGACGTAAGTAGTGCGGCCTTTGCAGCACGAGCTTCATACCAACACGATTACAAGAATGTTTCCCCAAGTCTGCTGTGATGAATTTCAGATGGACGGGATTAGAGACAGTGCTGACTATGCCGTTATCAAGACTGACTCGTCACCCCGTTGATTTAAAGTCCACTTATGTTTGCAGAGTTCTTTGTCAGGGTTATCAAAAGAAATGTATTTTCCTGGCCCTTTTTGCCGCCAAAAATGGCCAGACGACCACTGACCTGGCACAAAGTTTGGAAAGTATGAGACAGAAAGTAAAAAGACGCTTTTAAAACTCATTACAGAGTAGTCGGGATTGTTGGCTGGCTAACTCGTGCGTGGTGACACTTATCAAGCTAGGAAGTGATGGTAGAGGAAGTGAGGAAACGCAACACTCCCTCTCCCGAACGCCAGGATCTCTGTCCAGCAAAGATAAGCCGCTCCTGGAGCTGGATTTAAGGGGGGGGGGGCAGGAAATGTGACAGCGTCGTTTTTTTTCCCCCCAACACTCCCATAAACAAGAGAAACGGCAAAGTTTAGCCGTCAGTCCTCGAGCGCCTTTGGGCCGAGGGAGGCTGAGACACGTGCGGAGAGGGGAGGAGAGAAGAACAGGAAAGAAGGTCTGCAGAAAGACAGGAAAATCCATTAGTGTGTGTAAAAAGAGACAAGCAAAGGGGTTGGGGGGGAGGCGGGGAAGAGTGGTCCTGATTTTTTTTTTTGTCCTCTGATGACACTGCAGGCCAAGTCATGGCTGTAAACACTACGAATCTCTTCATGGAAATTGTTCAGTCTTTTGATGCTGGTGAGTTTTCGACTAACTTTGTGTCTCTTATCATGTGCTAATTTTCTCCGTTTCTTTCTGGAGATTCCAAATGGAATATAGTCATACGTTAACTAAACATATCTTTTTTTTAACATAGATCATGTAACTTTCAGATGATTCTTACGGTAGGCGGTAGAGTGCATGGAGAGGAAACTGATGTGTTGTTCATGGCAGACATCCAGCAAGGATTTAACCGCTGTGTTCTTTCTCCCGTCTCCACCGTGAGCACTTGCAAAGGTTTCGTCCACAGAGCAAGGCATATTATTTATAACCTACTTCGACACTGCGTTGCACATGAGCAATAATTCCTTACATTTTTGGGGGAATTGTGCCAGGCAGTGGGTCAAAATCGATAGTGTTTGTTCTCTGTCAAACAGTTGAAACCACTGACGCGTTCCAGAAACTTCTTTCTTTCAAACCGTTGGCTTTGAAAACCATCCGAATAGCCATAACTGATACTCTCCATCCAATGCCATGAAACCAATGTGAATGAAAAGATGAGAAAAAATGTCAATGCCAAAGATGGGCTTTGACCTCAACAAAGTCAGCCATCTAAGGAAGGAAGTGATGTTGACGTGGTGTGAAAAAATTCGAGAACCGCTGACTTCCATGATCTCTTTTTTCCAGTCCCCCTGATCATAGCTTTCAGCGTTTCCGTGGCAGTAGGACTGGTTTTGGGGGCCCTGGTCTACGTGTTTCTGACTTGGTTGTCGCGGCGCAGTGCAGGCTCTGCGCGTATCACCAGGAGCCCCCCTCCACGCCAATCTCGCACCTCCCCTAGAAACCACCCCGGTTTCAACCGCAGCAGCAGCAGCAACAGCAACAACAAGAGCCATGACCGGCGGAGCAACAACAGCCTGCTGAGCGCCGCTTTCACCTTCCACCGTCAGAATTCGAGCCTGGATCCCCTCGACCCGCTGGGGCACAAGTCGAGCTTCAGGGCGTCCACTTTCCACCCTCTCCTCCACTGTAGCCAGATAGCCAGAGAGGCGGAGGAAGGGAGCCAGGCGTCGCTGCCCCGCACACCGGTGTTGACCACCTCCACCGGATCAGCCCACGCGACCGGAACCCTAGCCAGACCCCATTCGTTTTGGGGGGACGGCATAAGGGGTTTTCAGGCTACACAAACCCCTCCTCCTGCTTATGAGAGCATTATCCGGGCCTATCAGGAAACGCACACCTAGGAATAGAGGACCAAACTGTTCTTTGAAATTCTGGAAAAGGATTTTGAAAACTATGTTTGATTTGTATCATCATAAACCACTACATGGAATGGACCATTCAAGTAAAAATTGTTGTTTTTGAGTCTATGATAGGTGTCTTCAATTTAAAATGTTTTTCCTTGCAGAAAAAAAATCATCTGTATTTGACTTTCAGAAATGAGCGAAATGCTGCTTCTGTATTACAATGTATTAAAATGCTGGTCATAGCAAGGTAAACAATGAGCTCATTATATGTGTACAAACACACAAACAATTTTTCATTAAAAAAATATTTATACACATTAAAAAATGTATTCCTGCACATGTTACTTACAACTAAAGCCCCTTAGCCTGAGTGTATATTTACAAAGCACTGTAGTTCATGTAAATGGGGTTTTCATGAAATTCACGGAGCTGTGACGTATTATTTATGCGACATATTTTGCAACGAGAGGGGCACCGCATCAGCTGGACAAAACTCGTTCGTGACTATTTAGAACCCCGGTGACTGCTTTAATTTCGCAATATGACACTACGAATAGAACAGCTTCACTGCACCTCGCGACCAAACTTGACGTCAGACGCGTTGACGCTTTAAAGGTCGCTGTCAGCGTTGTTAGTTTAGCTTCGTATATGCGCGGTGAGACGGTTGACGTTGCGTTAGGATAACGCAAGCTCGTTTTAACCGTTAAATGTTACGTCATTTGACGGGCCACGCCTTCTGCTGAGGACCCGTTTGTTACTTTTAGTATTTTTGTCGTCTCGAAACTATGTTTACCTGATAAAGTCAAGCTGTACATGTTCCCCTTCGTCTCTGTGTTTCTTTTCTACGTCATCGTAAAATCCTCCAAATGTGCGTTGATGAGTTGACATAAAAGATCTCGGTGCTTCAGCAGAACAAAGAGAACATGCTCCATCGTCCCACCGAGCACAATTATTAGAGGAATGACATGTCCGTGTTGCTGAGCTGGCTTTTTGTGTGTGTTTGTGTTTGTCACCTCCAAGTTCCTGGAGGATGTCTGCGACTGCACTGCGTTTGATTCGATGCAGGAGACTCAGCACGGTCGGGTTGCCTGGCGTGACCAAGGCGCTGCGGTCGAGGGACCTAAGTGAGTTGTCGTTGAAAGATGGTGACTGATGCATGTGTAGCAACCATTTAAATCGTTTTTTTTTCCCTCCCTCCCAGGGAAGATTGCTAAAGTAACAGCAGCTGCGGTGTTCGGGTAGGTATTCAAAACTTACCGAATTTCTGGAGGTTTGTGTCTTGATGGTTCCACTTCCGCAGAGGCTGCCTTTTCATCACTTATGAGGTGGTGGCCTTGGACAAGGGGGTGACCATCGATACCAGTGCGATTCTGCAGGAGAAGTACAAGTCTTACATCTACCTTCGAGCCAGTCCCTCTGATGAAAAGGAGAACGTCGCGGCAGGTAGATCTATTGGTGATTTGTTACAATTTTCAGAGACTCTCATCATGGCATTGTTGGGTTTTCCGACATTTTTGAATCCATGAAATGAGAGACCCTTGTCTTGTATGTAAACTGGCATCTGGCAAAAATGCTGACGGGAGTGACTTTTTTTTTTTTTCCTGAAATGACTACAAAGTTGATAGCTTGTCCAGGTGCTCAGTGACATCTTCTGTCATCGCTTCCTCTCCCTGCTTCCTCATTCAACTGTTTTTATTTCCTGGCTGTTAGCGAACTTCCCCTGGTCAGGGGTTCTCCGAGGAAGTGAGCCCACCCTCCCTCACTGCTTACGAACTGGCGATCCTCATCATGAATAAATGCTTATATTTAAAACGTTCAACTAAAAATACTTTTTTTTTTCGTGGATATTTTCCAGAGCTCACACAAAAGACAAGGAGGGAACTCCACAAAGCGGCAAGGCGCTTTCTGGAAATTTCTTCGCGGCTTCTGCTGCGGTCATTAGATGGTAAGAAACGGATGCGTTGATGATGAATACTTATCATGGAAAAAAAGTAACATTTTACAAATAAACTAAATTTGTGTTCATGTACTTTTGTAAACTGCAACCGCATTAACATCTCTGATGGTTTCTATTTAAAAAAAAAAATTCATTTTGTATCTTTTATAAAACAGCTTCCTGGTGCGAGACGCAATATTTGCAAGGTTTGTCAATGGCTAGACGTGCTAATCCGACGGTAGTTCTGTAGACTCTGTAGGGTCAATAGGTAGATGTACCGTGGTTAGATTGATATTTTTTGCATCATTCATTTTACATTGTCCGTATTTGTTGTTGTTTTTTTTTTTTTTTTTTTTTTTTTTTTAAAAAAGGGCCCATAAAGGTGCGCGGAACC